TGCCTTAAAAATTTTATTTCCTTTTTTAAAATTAAAGCCGATCTTTCTTTCTTTTCTTCCCTGCATAAATTACTACCTTTGAAACGTTCTGGAAATAAATTTTTACGAGAATTTATTCTTTGCAGACGAAAGGTTTTAAAAAATAGGTTCAATATCGAATAAAAATGTATGATTATGGTATGGCGTTGGTGCGTTCTAAAATTCAAGTGTGTAAATCTCGAGAATCTTTTTTGAGTTTTTAACAGACTAAATTAATTAATTAATAATATGAGAGGAAAATTTTAATTTTAAAAAATTAGAAAGAATGGCAGCATCAGAGCAAATCAGGAAGCACGTGTTCAGACAGTTCATCTTAATGCATTGACGATTTTTAATATTTTATTGGAAAATTTTAAATTTTTTAGGTTTTTAATATATTGTTGTCATGTAAGGTTGGAGAAAATTTCTTAACATAAACATTAGTGAAAAAGGTCATATTTGTAAAAGCCGGCTGTGCGCATTGCTGTCATCCTCACTACTGCATACTATTTACAATACCATGCATTTTTTAACACAGTTTATAAAACAAAAATGTATTAACATAAATACAACATAAATGTTTAAAGGTGGTTAGAAAAGGACAAATGTGTTTATTTAAATATCGACTTATTCCTTACCTTTACATTTTGTCTTATAAGTTCATGGACGTGTACGGATCAGTACTGATGGCTGGTGTCGCGATGCCAAATTTATTTTTCAACGGAAATAACACGGTCATAATTTTATAGACGGAGAACGGTTTCGAGAGGAGGAGATGCGACCGGTCCGCGAGCATATGGACGAATGGAGAAGGCCGAGAGTTCCATTGATGTAGAGGGAGAGCATGCGCCACCTCTTCTGCCCCGTAACACCTCACACCATTGATTATTGAATGCCGCGATTAAGAATTAAATTTATCGATAATAAATCCAAATTCGTTAAGATTTATTTCCGTTATGACACTATCCTGAATGAGACACTACTTCTAAACACTATTGAAGAAAAGACACAACTTGAAAAACTTCAGTGGGAAAAGGCACGGCCGATTTCAAATTGAAGAACTAATTAGATCCGTCAACATTTACACTTTCTGATGAGTCGCCTTGTCTCCAGGCGGAATCAGCTTTTCTAAGCATAATAACAAGGTCACCTCCGTGCATCCTGTTCCGTGGTAACCGGAAAAAAGATAAACATTTTTAAAAGATCCACGCTGAAAGGATACCCTCAGGTTTTGTTAAATTTTAATCATAAATTTCACTTTTTCATCAAGAAGTACGAAAAATAATCAGATTCCTTGTTATTCAATTAACAAAGTACTTTCTAGAAAAATAGACAATGTTACTCATATATAAAACGTATCCTGCCTCACACCTACTACCTCATCTTGAAGTCCATCCTGTTGGATCGAGGGTTTAAAGTGAGAATGGGTAGGTTTTTCACCCATCACGCCAATCAGAGCTGGCGATCCTAGGTCCAATCCTCTACATCATTTCCTCTGCTAACAACCCTGCAAATCCAAACACACAACTCACAACCTACGAGGGCTGCAGCGCAGACATGATCAGTACAAACAACTTCAATGTGTTTATACTTTTGTAGAGACGGCACTTTCCAACACAGTATTAGAAAATCCTTTTTAAAAAGATAGTTCCTACTCACAGTAAGTTGTTTTGCAACGATCCGGATTTCGAGCCTTTTAGCTCATCATCAGACTGAAGGACTTCTACAACCACGTCACTTGACATAGAGATTTTCGAAATGGTTGTAGAAGTCCTTCAATTTTATGATGAGCTAAAAGGCTCGAAATCCGGATCGTTGCAAAACAACTTACTGTGAGTAGGAACTATCTTTTTATAAAGTATTGAACACCACACTCACTCCATCATTTATCATTTCCAGTATTAGAAACTACGAAATATGTTGAACCGGCACACGGGCACTACTGGGTCTGTCTTCACTCGCGGGTTCTCGGGGATGGAAATGAAACCTACCCTACTGTCTCGACCTTTTACACCTCAGGACTATCATCTCCTCCTTTCAGTCAATTCTGGGCATTATTCGTAACGACTGGAAAATGTTTACGGTTTTGGAGAAACGACACTTGCCATCACAACAGTAGAAACTACGAAATAGATGGAAATGAACTTACGCAGCACCTACCCTATTATCCCGACATTTTACACCTCAGGACTATCAACTCTTCCGTATTGTCAATTGCGAGATCTAATCGGTCAAAAGTTTAGTTATGTTTGAACTGGATACCACAATGCACAGAAAAAAAATATCAAAACTTATATAATCGAGCTTCTTCTGCAGCACTCTACTATACTGACACCTAAGGACTATCATCTCTCCCATTCTGTCGATTCTGGGCTCTATTCGTAACGATTGCAAGATGATTCCTGTTTTGTAGAGAAGGCAATTTCCGACACAACTGTAGAAACTGCGAAATAGATGGAAATGAACGGATGCAGTACCTACCCTACTGTCTCGGTCTTTTGCACGTCAGGACTACCATATCTTCCTTTCTGTCAATTCTGGGCTTTTTCGTAACGTTTCGTTTTTTCACTGGGGCTTCCGTTCACACAAATGCATCCATACAATACACTCATTCCGTTTGGTCGGTGGAGTATTTGATATTCTTCCACCGTCCTATACTCAAACTAAACTAGATTGGGGTCGATGGAGTACTTTTATAAATATTCCGCCATCGACCCCGAACACACTCATTCACTCTCAACGTTCGAGGGGCGATAATGACGTTATATTTCACCCTCGCCATTCATGCTAATAAATACATGCACTCAGACAAAACATATAGACACACAACACATAAGACATACTATATACAATAAAAAAACCAATTTCCCCTAAAAAGCGGTACAGGGGACTCTGAAACTCGCTACCGTGTTCGAGAACTATTCTTAAGTCCGGCGGCATGCCTACACGCTCTCTGTATGGAGCCAAGGCATGACACGCCTCTATTATGTGGGACACATCGAGCAACCTTTCTCTGCATAAGGGGCACCTGCGCGGGTTTTGGCCCAAAAGCAGGTGCCCATGTGTCAATCGCGTATGGCCAAACCTCAGTCGGGTGAGTACGATCCCTCGTCTCCTGCTCAGATTCTCTGTGGGCCATCTACCTACCGGTCGTGCTCTTGACTCGCAAGAGCCTCTCCGACGACCATGCCCACTGACGCTTCCATCTTTCTTTTATCATATTTTTACTGCGTGTTTAGCGTCAGGGGGCCTGATCGCGATGGTCCGATCTGGAGGGTGGGACGTACTCGCCGCCTCGTCCGCTCGTTCGTTACCCTCCAAGCCGACGTGTCCGGGAATCCAGACAACAACCACCGTTTTTCCGAGAGGCTCCAGCTCCGCGTATTTCTCTAACAAGATCACGACGAGAGGGTCCACAGAGAACCTGTCGCGTTTAACCCAGACAGCGCTCAGAGAATCGGTACGTACGAGGAAGGCTGAGCCCTCCCCGGTCCGTACCGCCTCGAGAGCGTGGCAAATCGCATACTGCTCTGCCGTGTATACGCTGCAATGAGGGGGCAACGACCAGAAGGTGGTCACTCCCTCGCTATACACAGCACACGCCACACTATTGCCGGTCTTGGACCCGTCTGTAAAAATCAGACGAAAGCCGGCGTATCTATTTCTAAATTCAAGGAACTTAGCCTTGTAGAGGTATGGCGGCGTACATGATTTGGACAAGTTCGCCAGATCGTCGCGGACGAGTACGGCCGGAAAGGTCCAGGGGGTGTCGGCCGGTGGCCCAACCGAAGCACCGTCCCCAGAGCCAATCCGGCCCTCCCTAAGGACTCATCGAAGCGAATCCCGAGGGGTCGCGTCCGCAGCGAAGCCTGTCGTCACTTCTGGGCCATATTTATAACAACTGCAAGATGTTTATGGTTTTGCAGAGGCACATTTTCCGACAGAAAAAATAGGAAATAATAATCTAAAGTAGAATCGAATCGTGTATCACAACCACCCTACAGCCCTGACCGTATACCTCCTGACTATCGTCTCTACCGTTTTGCCAATTCTGAGCTGTAATACGACTTCAAAGTGTATACAGTCGTGTAGAAGCGACACTTCTCGACTAAAAAGTAAAACCTTCAAATTGGACAAAATAAACCGTCTTCAGCACCCACCCTATAGACCTGATCTCGCATCATCGGGCGACCCTTTCTTATTTGCAATTACCTAATGTAAACATTTTACATACTAAAACAGGCAAAAACTAGAACCGGTTATTAGCGGGAACAAACAGCTCGCCTTTCTATGGCAAAAAGTAATCGAGTAAGATAATCTATATTTTCAAGACACCCTAATACTATGATTTAATCATCATCAGTTTCCCATTTATCTTAGTTTTTTTTATGTGGAATATGCTATTTATGTTGGGGATTATAACAAAGTGAAACACTAACGCTCCTAAATTTTCGTTCATGCACAAAGTCTAGAAAAATTAGAAAATGGACTGTATATATCATACCAAAACGTATTGAGACCTAAACAGGGTGTTTTGATCATGAAACTAGCCCGGTCACTATTTCAAATGAAACTGACATTTTGAACGTCTGCCCTTCTTTTCGAGGTTGCATGTTTCACCTCTTTCGTAGGGTCGTTCTGACATTTATATTTTCTTTTTTATTCCTCTTTAAATCCAAGGCCTTTTAATGTAAATTAACCTAAGATCTTTCGATCTAAACTTTTGATTTGTGTCTTTTTTAAACTCTGTTTTTATTCCAAGCCAAATATTATCAATTTAGCTTATAGCTAAGTTAACTATATAGAGTATGTCAAATCGAAATTTTTTTTCAAGATATCTAACATCGATCTGTTTTACAAATAATAAGATGATAAAAAGTAGGACTAATAACGAATCATAGTTAACCGAATAATCTCGATTTGATAAAAGACGAAAAAGGGTGGGGTTAGGACCAGAGGCCAACCCGCGGTATGTTTTCATTCCTGAGTTAAACATCCTTATTCGCTGATCCTGTGCTCTCCGACTCTCGGCATCCATCAAGCCCCGGCTTGTGACACAAAGTGAGACTTTTAAAAGTTTCTTCGCATATCAATTAAAGGTAAAACAACCGTAACAACTAACATAACGATAAAGATCAATTAACTTTAATAATTTTTTTTTTTAAATTGTGCACTTGATGAAATATATTAATCACTTCTTGGTCTGTATTTTTTATAGCATAATTAGTTTAAAAATTTATCTATTAGTTTAAATACTGATAATATTATCAATAACATATTATTTTTTACAGAAAAATTTTAGTTTAACAATTACATCATATTAACAAATGAGCATACCCTTACAAACAAGTTAATCCTGTTCTTCCAAGGTTCATAAGACTAGGGAACTTTTTCTTCTGAGGCAGACCTTCCATAACAGTGAAGTTTGTATTACAAGTGAAGAAAGTCGCACATTCCAATCCAGAAAAAATTATTTTTGTCTAATTTACATTGAAACTTATTACGTAGAGTTTATTTGAACAAACAAACTTAAAAAAATCATTCGATAAATAATTAAAGTGATTTACAATCAAACTTATATAACAGTAATGCAAAATAAAAAATTCGCACACTACGCACAAAACAATAATCACAATAAATAAAAACGTTAATAAGAAGAAATAATTATTAATCATTTTGATATCAGATGAAACTTAAACAGCAGACAATTTATGTTTAGTGGTCTAATTGACGAAATTACTTATTTCAATTAATTATTCTTTTTATGTAAGGTCTTGGCTGAAATAAAAAAGTTAGTGTCACAAGCGGGATTCGAACCCACGACCTTCGGCTTAATACCTAACCACTTGATCGCGATAACTCAAGTGGTTACAGCAGCGGCGTATTGAGCCGAAGTCGTGGGTTCGAATCCCACTCGTGACATTAAATTTTTCATCTCGATCAAGACTTTACTTAAAAAGACTAATTAATTGAATTAAATTGGAGTGCTGTTCGAAGTAATACTCATGCATTCCTATCCACACAAAATAATTAGGCCAATTTTGGTCAAAAGTGAAAACAGAGAATTTAGCGAGAATAAATATGAACATAACAAAAATTCAACCTATAAATAATCAATATAATTCCAAATGAAACTTATACCAAACTAGGGTTCGGAATAACAAAGAAAAAACTCGCATAATCATTTCCAAAAAAAAGAATATTTGTCCGAAGTCGGTTGAAACGTTTAAAAGAAAGTTTGTTGTACAAAAAAACTTAAATCTGTGACAGTGGTGTTCGTAATATAAATAAAGAAAATCGCCCACTCGTAGCCAAAAAAATATTTATTTGTGCAATTTTGGTCGAATCCTACAGCAGAGAGTTTACTGAACACAAATAAAGTCCCTATCAAAATGCAATTCATAAATAATTGATGTTATTTCAGAAAAACTTAAATATGTAACACTGATCTTCGTAACACAAATACAGAAAATCGCACACTCATATCCAAAAAAAATTTATTTGTGCAATTTTGGTCGAATCATATAGTAGAGAGTTTACTGAACACAAATAAAACCCCTATCCAAATGCAATTCATAAATAATTGGCGTTATTTCAGACAATACTTAAATATGTAACAGTGATTTTCGTAGCATAAATAAAGAAAATCACACATTCGTATCCACAAAAACATTTATTTGCGCAATTTTGGTCGAATCCTACAGCAGAGAGTTTACTGAACACAAATAAAGTCCCTATCAAAATGCAATTCATAAATAATTGGCGTTATTTCAGACAAAATTTAAATATGTAACAGTGATTTTCGTAACAAAAATCAAGAAAATCACATATCCATAAAAATTATATTTATCCAAATTCGGTTGAAACTTAAGGTAGAAAGTTTACTTGGCGCAAGTAAAAACTAAATTCTATTAAAATACGATTTATAAAAATTATGTTGGATATCAAATATGACTTAAATCGCAGTGTTGTTCCTAATACAAATGAAGAAACTCGCCCATATCTATCCACGAAAAATTATTTATGCAAATTCAATTGAAACGTATTTCAAACAATTTAATGGACACAAATAAAAAAGATATAAAATGCAATTCATAAATAATTAATATTGTTCCAAATCAAACTTATATAAAAATAGAGTTAATTAAAAAACTTGCATACTCATACCTACAAAACCTATATTTGTCCAAATTTGGATGAAACGTATTTCAGAGATTTTAGTGGACATAAATATAGGCTCTATCAAAAATTAATCCATAAATAACTTTTTTCACTCGAATGAATAAAACATAAAATTTATTTGTGCAATTACCCTATCATAAAAAAAATAAACTATGCTAATTTATTTGAAACATATAACAAGGTTTTTAGTGGACACAGATAAATTGACTATAAATTGGCCAATTCGTTAAAAACAAATCGGATAAAAATTATTACAATTTGTAATAGATATTAAGAGGACAGTATGTGTAAATTCATGAAGTCATGCTGAACCGGCTAGAGTCACTTATTGGGTCCGTCTTCACTCGCGGGTTTTTTGAATAACTCAAACGCGTTTCGGCATTACGCCATCTTCAGTGAGGAACTAGTTGCGGAATAAACCCTATGCCAGTTCAACATGAGTTCACCGACAGATCCATCGTCAACTTCAATTCATGAACTTTTAAACTAAATTCACTAGTTTTCGTGGTCCGCTTGACCAATTAAATTCTTTCATTTAATTAAGGTTTTTAGTTGAGATTGATTTTAAACTAAAGCTACTTTCTGCCCTGTTCTGTTCTTATTGAACTAGTCCATCTTGATTTTTATTGTTTTATTATCCGATTTCAACCATTCGACCGGAAGTTTTCAGAATATTTTCTTGCAGTTGATTATCCGGTTTCAAGATTGATCCGAGAAACGTGTGGTGATTAGTGTCCATTAGTCGATGATTATTCGGGAATCGTGAGTGCGGTCTGGTGTGACGTAGGTTTTAAAAAAACATTTTCTTTATTTTGCCAACGTTTCGATCTTTATTGAGATCATCTTCAGGATCTGGGATTGACAAATATTGTTTAAATTTAACGAATAGATGTAGGATGTGGAAAAAAGTGAATTTATACAATTCAAAAAAATATTTTTTATATTCAATCAAAGTATTTCTACTGGCACAATTACTCAGAAAACAAACACTTTGAGTAAGTAGACATACTGTGGTTGAATATAAAAAATATTTTTTTTCAAATCTTCAAATGAAACATGAGTAATTACACATATGCTTTATTATCTTTTCATTTGATTCAACCAGACGCGCCTTCGTTCAATCTGATATACTTTTTTTTATTTTAACATTACTTTTTTTAATATTGTTCTTCTATTCTAACAATATGAAAAACGATCAATGAACCGTTGAGAAATTTTTGCAATCGAGAAAGACAGAGGGCAATACACCTAGGCGTAAAACTACATTGTCGCACAATTTCAAGACTGCTGCGTTATCAAAAAAAAAATCAAATAAATTTTCTTCTTTTTTTCTTTAATTCGGTTTCCATCGGATTAACGAAAAGTCCTTGGGCCTTGTTGATATTCCGTTCGAATAAGAGTAAAAAATGAAATAAAACCACGACCCGGGTTTCAGACTAATTGACCTGTTCGAACGCGATGTTATCAGCCAATTCAGGCAATGATCTCACTTCCATCCGTTACACTGAAAATAATGTCGACTTTTCACTTGCAACCTGACACAAAAAAAAAATCAAACGGTTAAAATTTCAGCATTTGAAATTTGGATAAGTACTTGTTTAAATTTTTGCAAGGGGACGAAAAATATCTCTTGAAACTACCCCAAAAAAAATATTCTTAAAGATAAATGGGAGTTGAATTACCTAGAAAATGTTATATAAAATATGACCTAAAAAACATACATAGTGTAAATAATGCACAATTGATCATGCAAACTTACCTTAAACCTGCTTGAAGACAAATATTTCCTTGAAATAAAATAATTTACACATACACTACTTCACTAATTAAAAAAATTAAATAATATGTATTATTTTTTTTAAACACGGTTAAGCTTTCAACATAGGATGTAAATTAATTGACGTCAATATCGGGCTAATGTTGTCTAATTGCCAACTGTTTACTTTGAACAGTTTACCTTCTTACAGTTAACAGGATCAACTCAGCAAAATCTCTTTTGAAGAATTAGCATATTTTTTACTTTTTTCAACTTTCCTTCCAAACGCTAAAAGATACGCGTTGCGGCTCCTCAGTCTTAAATAAAAAATATGAAATGATAAATTAAAAATATAATAAAAAACAAAAAATATTCGCCGCATTGGTAATAACTGTACTATTATTGTTCTTTGTTTTTTCGTTTGTTTTTCGGTTTTTCTTCTACTGCTTATAATCTTACCTGTTATGTTCTAACCTAGTCTGAAAGCACTCAAGAAAATTAAACCTTCAAATTCTATCCCCTCTCAATCTTAGCCGGTGTACCCCGAGGCTCTAGACTTGGACTTATACTATTTTCCATGTTCCAAAAAGATCTTCCATTAGTACACTCAGCTTTGAAGTAAACTCTCTGCTTAAACGTGAACTTCATTCTTCGTAATGAGGCCGTACTTATAGCTTTCGTAAGATATATTGATAAAGGTGATTTTTCTGAAGAAATTTTGTTCTGTAAATCATTAAAAACCACCACTACCAAAGATAAAAATATAGTAACATAAAAAATTACTTAGATGTCAATAATAAGCCAATGAAAAATATAAAATATTATGCTGCAGATGGTGATGCTAAGATGAAGGGGAAGAAAAATGGTTGCTTAAAAATTACATATCCTGGGAATTAAATGTATGGCCCAAGATTTGTTCGGAATAAAAATTGACACATTTTAAAAGAACCGAGTCTTACTTTTGATTTTAAAAAAAGAATATAAGACAAAACCTTTTTTTTAAAGTGAACCTGCTATCCTACTCCAGACCACGTTTTCCCAACTTTCAACTTAAATTGCCTAACAAAAAACCTAAATAATCCAAATTTCTAATAGACCGTTGGACAGCTTATAAAAGGTTGAAGTTTTTAGCTGGTTTTACATTTTTAAAAGTGTAATGTAACGGAGCTAGGGGTTTAGAGGTGATCCAAATTTACCATTTCGCAAATTTCAGCGCAGTTAATTTGTAAGTAGGCTTACAATTTTTAGAACAAAAGTGGACTAATCCAAAAGAAAATTGGGCGCTAAATCTAAAAATAGAGTCAAGAGTTGGAAAAAGTTCAAAAGTTATAGCGAAGAAAATTCATGTTTTATGTAAGGAAGCGTGTTTTTCTTAAATAAACACTAAAAAAAATCGTAACTTTTGAACAGATTGAGATAAAACCATGAGTTTTTCGGCAAACGCAATATGACCAACTTACATAACTAATATAATTTATTTAGAGTACTCGATATTACGCAATCTGTTACATTCACGCTAATAAATACATTCCCTATAAACACACACTAGTGTACGCAACAAAATCAGCAATGCAATAAAACAACCCTGTTTTCTCCGAAAATCGGAACACGGGACCAGGATGCCGTGCTCAAGCAAGATGCTCATACCGGGAGGCATTCCTACAAGATCCCTATATAGAGCCAAAGAGTTGCTCCTTTCAATTAGGTGGGATATTTTACTGTTTGGTATAAAACTAAATTTATTTTTACGATATGTAGATGTAATTTGTACCTTTAAATAAATAAAATAAAGAAATCTGTAAAAGTTTAATAACAATTTTCCATCGTTGAATATCGAGTGCGTTTTTTTTTCTTGTTTTTTTTTTACATCAAAATATCTGTGTTATTTATCCTCTTCGTTTCTTAAACCATAATAACTCATATCTAGAATTAAAAAGGTTTCTTATCGCATACATGCAGGGTCAAACTCCAACTTTGATTTCTTATCTTTTGGGTTCAGACTTCCAGTTCAATTCCGAGGCAGGTCGTCACATCACAACTGCATAATTGTCTATTTAAAATGGTAAAATGGTAAATTATTATTAACTTTTCCCCATCACATTTTGCAATTAATTTATTTTCCCCTTTTATCTCAGATGAATGATGGAATTTTTTTTCAAAAATACATTTAATTGACTAATTAATTCAAAATCTAGCACGGAATCCGGGCCGATAAAAAGCCTTATTAACAATTTTATTTACTAGCTGGTAATTGTTACATTTATCTCTTTAATTAATCTTTGCCCTCATTAAAAAATTATTTACACTCTGGGCCTAAAGAACAAGGCACCAATTGTACTTTGGTTCCCTTCGATTTGTTATAAATATCAGTTATGCAATCGTTTAAATATACTTAATCGTCTCCTCTGAAAATTTGACCAGTCTGTAAACTCGTTCCGAACGTTTGCATCCTGTTATAAAGTGAGTTTTTTTTTAAGGGCATAGTTTTTATATAAATGTACTTACATAAAAATAACATATTCTTCTAAGATCTTTTAACATTTTCACAAAAAAAAATACTCGTATAATCAGTTTTCCTACATTGTGATGGAAATAGGCAAAAATTGTCTAGCTACTTGTAAGACGAATGAACTTTGCTTTGAACCTGTAATCATTTACGCACGCTATACAGTTATGGTTTGTTTGTTTCATAAATTTCGACAGGGAAACGTAAATCAAAGGGTTAATTCCTCATGCAATTACCACACCCTCTTAGAAGCGAGAGATTAAATAACTTCGCCATTTTATGCCAAGCATGACGTGAAACAACAATGAAGAGCATTTTTAAATTCTCGATAAAAAATTTATTTGGTTAGCTGCGAGTATCTGGTTCCCATGTTCCGATTTTTGAAGGAAACATGGTTGATTTATTATATATAGCATTGATAGTTGTGTGTACCTGGCGTGTGTTGAGAGTAAATGTATTTATTTGCGTGAATGTGTAGTTTAAAATATCTGATGGCGGAATGTTGAAAACCCCATTCACCCTCAATTAGATTGGTTATATAATAGGTGTAAAGTGTGATGGAGGTATGTCGAGTACTAAACGCCCTGAGTGAATGGTATATCAATAGAATATATTTAAGAATGAGTGACAGTATGAAGATTAAAAAAAAAGAGAATTTTTTACTTTATTTGACAATCTTTGAATTTGAATAAATTAAAAATATTGCTTCCCATAAACTATTTCAACTCATAGCATAGTTATTTCTCTGAAACACCCAACAACGGACACACAGGTTATTGAGAGAATTATATTTTATTTACAGAACGTTTTCAACTCTTTTCTTGAGCCCTCTTCAGCGTTGGTACGTTACATCAGGTGGACATCCTAACAGTGTCCTAACGTGTTAGATGTACATTGTTAGGATATTCGCACAATGTATCAACACTGAAGAGGACACATGTAAAACAATCGAATACATTCTGTAAATCAAGTTCTCTCAACGACCTGGCTGTTCATTGTTCAAGAATGCCTAAAATTACAAGAATATAGTCACTAAGATTTTGAAAATAATGAAAGTAATGAAAAGTGAATTGATTATTTTACCAACATAATCTAATTGTATATATATTTTTTTTTCTCTAAAGCTTTCAATCTGTTTGACCAGTTTTATTATAGAATTTGTGAACCTATCTTAACATGGTTTTATCCTTATTCAACGGGCAGAAGTCAAATAATATTCCTAGTCTACAAAACATATTCCTGGAGTTCCTCAAGGTTAACTACTTGGACCTGCCTTGTTTACAATTTTTATAATTCATATTTCATCTTATTTACATTTTAATTTTTCACTTTCAAGTATACAGCAGCAATCAAAATCACAATACAAAATTCTTTTATAATTTCACATGTAATTACTGTTGTTAATTAAAATTGTGTTTTTGTATCATGACATGTGTAGTCATAATTATTGTATTGTTAAATTTTTGTCTTGTTATTTTGGATGTTATTTTGATTAATTATGATATATTATGATATGTTATTTTTGATTTGTTATTTTGATTAATTTAATTTTCAAATTCACTAATTTCGTGGTCCACGACCAATTAATATATTACAATTAATTAAGGTTTTTAGTTGAGATAAAAAAGTCAATGGCATTGAAAAATGGCAAAAAGGAAGCAAATTTCAAAAGGTGCGGTTGAGATGGGAAGTTGGTGTCCGAGTGGATCGAGGTTATGATAATAGCTCAAGTGGTAGAGCAGCGGCGTATCGAGCCGAAGATCATGGGTTCGAATCCCGCTTGTGACACTGACTTTTTTTTATCTCAACTAAAAACCTTAATTAATTGTAATATATTAATTGGTCAAGTGGACCACGAAATTAGTGAATTTGAAAATTAAATTAATATTTATATATTTTTATAATTATTTTTTATTTAATATATTTTAATATTTATATTTTATATTAATATTAACTTATATAAAATTAAAAATTATTTATGAGATTGTATATAATTGTAACTGGGTTTTAGCTCATAAATAATAAATTATTAAATAATTAAATTTTAACGGTTATTTTCAACTGAGACTTTAAGCCAACACAGCACAGTAGATAGTTATTAACTTATCATCACTGTTCACTTAATTCAATTTACAACGAATAAGTGTTGAAATGCTTAGATAAAATTTGAAATGTTAACATTTATTCATAGCTTCTGATAAGGAATCACTTGAGTACACAGAGGATCTCAAAAAGTTTATTTGCACTGTGTTTGAAGTCGAGATTAATCTTGAATAAACGTCCCCGTGGAATTCGAATCATTCCTTTCTCGTGCATATTTAAAAAGATTTGTGTTTGTACCAATGTTTTTTTAATCTTGAGGCGTAATTTTTTAAACTAACATGAAAGAGATGCAAAAAATGTTTGATTTGTTGGATATTCTTTAACAATCTTGTTTCAAAACCTTGTCTGTCTGCTTGTTGTTAGCCTAAAGTTATGAAATATTTCTTTCAAATATGTTTAAAATTAATGTTAATATGTTTTAGCATTTTTTTTTGCATATCTTCAATAGTTGAATCTTTTTGCAACTTTGATCAATGCGTCACTTTTACAATGTGAACAAACATTGAATTGTTTAAATAAAACCAAGAGAACCAAAAAAAAAGACTAGTTTGGAAGAAAAATTCATCTTTATCATCAAGTCTGACTCGATGGCTTTATTAGTCAGGCTGACAAAGAATTAGTGTTAATCAACGGATGATTTTTTTTACAATCTAGCCTTGTTTTATGGTAACAAATGTATGAGGATTATTTTCTAATTTTACAAGATTTCAAAAATGTATAGACTGATTTGCATATTTTTAAAAGCTCTAATTTTGTACATACGTATAGATATATAGCTTATGACTTTGCAACAATCACCCATTTTCGTGTTTTGGTAGTTCAGGGTCAGACTTGAGTCTTATCCGACCCCACATCGAAGCTAGGCTCCAGGAGCTGGCAACAGCTGGGTCATTTCAGCCCCAATCAATTGGGTACTCAATATTTCACCATCTTACACTCACTTTCACTCTAATAAATACATTCACTATCATGTACACGACATCTACCTATCTATATGCAATAAAACCGTCCTGTTTCCTGTAAAAATCTGAAGAGGGGAGTCAATGACTCACTGTGCTCAAGCATTATTTTCATATCGAGTGGCATCACTACAAGCTCTCTATACAGACCCAAGGCCGACCATTTAATTAAGTGGGACAGATCAAAACATTCTCTACAAGTCCATTAAGTGGTCTGATTGACTAATTCTTTCAATTAATTAATCTTTTTAAGTAAGATCTTGGTTGAAATGAAAAAGCTAGTGTCACGAGCAGGATTCGAACCCACGACCTTCTTCTGAGTTAGCCGCTGCTCTACCCACTTGAGCTATCGTGACTTCAATCCATTCAGACATCAAATTCGAAAGGTTGTAGGTTGAGATGGGAAGTTGGTGTCTGAGTGGATGGTTCAAATCCCGCTTGTGACACTAGCTTTTTCATTTCAACCATGACCTTATGTAAAAAGATTAATTCTCTACAAGCTTTGGCTGTGTCTGTGTGTCAACCTTATATAGCCTATTTGTTGTTAGGCAAATATGATCCATCTTCTTCAATTCAAATCTTTGATGGCCACCTGTCGACCATGATCTTGATATGCTTCTATGCTATAAGATACATAATCAAGACTGCTTTGCTTAACCTCATTTTTGTTTTGATTGATCAGAATAAAGAAGTGAATTTGTTTTAATTTTATCTTCAGTTGATTGAAAAGATTGTCATATTTCAGTTGAATATGTGTTGGTCTACAAGTTTTGATAAATTGTGTGAAATTTGATCTTCACAAGAAATATTTCATGACTCAGCATTCTCATTTTCTTCAGTAGTTGTATAGTTTTCTTGTGTTTTGTTTATTTGATATTTTTTAGTAGTTTATTCTCCTGAATCCACAGTTTAAATTTTTTAAATCTTTAAAATGATGTGTTCTAGTTCTTATTTTTAGTCTAATTTTGTTCATAAAAATAAATTTTATATATTGGCAGATCATAGATCTAATCATTAATACAATAAGTACAAAATACCCCAGCTAAACATTTTAAAACGTCAATAATTGACCAAATTATTTGTTTCAGAAAGTGGAAAAGATGACTTCTGTTCAGAATTGCAAAAATGAGTTTCCTAAGCTTCAATCACTCGACAGGCTGTCCAAAATACCAGTGATTGAAACGGGTGTCCAATACGCGAGTGGTGTATATTGGAAAATAAAGGTGACAATTGTAAGTTTAGTCAAGCTCGATTGAACTTATTGATTATATTTTCACTTCAGAATTCCAACGCTTTGATGAGATGGAGTTTGAACTCAGTCGAAGGCGGGCTACACTTGGCAGTCGAAAAATCGCTTGTGGCTGTATCCCTCTTTGAATTCCCTTTGTTCATTGTGGACAACATAGTCTGCAAAAGTTTGGATTCAGTTGAGCAGAGAGTACCAGCCATAAATTACCCTCCTGAATTGGTAAATAGTAAAAACTACATTCAAGAAATCTTTCATTTATTTTATATTTTATAGCTGCTTAATATGACCAAGGATATGGTCTCAACTCGGATTGTGCAGCCGGCAATAACAAGAGTTGGCTCTGTCAAACAGTTCAGTGTAAACGAGACTGCAAAATACACAGAGATTGCTGCTTCCCGTTTAGACAATGTTTTAAATGTTGCTGATAAATACGTCGATAAATATCTACCTGATGCTACAGACTTAGATGTTCAAGGTAAAATATTTTAAATTCAATAATCAGTGCGGATTTTCAATGCAGGGTGTTTCAGTTGACAGGAATAGGAGTGACAGTAAAGCAAATCAGGCTATTAAGCATGTCAATCGGCTTTCTAGAAAACTTCAACGACGACTGACAAAACGAACAATCGCTGAAGCCAAAGCTTTGAAGAACCAGGGTGTTAATGTAGCTCAGACATTAACTTACTTGCTTGATTTGGTAATATAAAAATAAATAATAATTTAATGCTGTTCTACATTTTTTTTTCCCCTAGTTGCTCAAAGATCCAAAGCAATTTGTACAAAAAATGAAAGCAGTCTGGGAGCATTTGAGTGAAGAAGAACCGGAGAATCAAATTCCACCAGCGAATTTGGAACAGTTGATTGCGATGTTGACTAGAGAGTTGGCAAGGAGATTTGTACATGTAACGAACTTCTCGGTTCAAACCTTATCTAAACTCCCGGCCTACAGTGTAGAAGCGATGAACTTCACCTACCACCACTTTTCTGTTTTACTCGATCAAATGTGCAAGGTAAAATTTTTATAAACAAAAAATTGAAAAATGCCTATTTTGGATGTATTCTTGAGAAAACTATTTTCAGACAGTCCATATTGAAGGAGCTAAAGCAATGGCAGTTGCAACAGCACAAACTGAAATAGAACATCTTCAAAGTGTAATAAGAGAGATTTATGTTTTACTAAGACACATGGCTGTAAGTGTTTTATAAATTGAATATTAATCGAAAAATAAACTATAAATTATTTTCCTTCAGGAAAATTTAGGATCTCGCTTTCAAGTCCATCGCCCAGACTTGATAAAATTACAACCTATTAAGCCTCCACCTGTGGACAATAAAAATGATAATACTGTTAATCACAAAGAATCCAGCAATGTAAGCCTAGAGCAAACCACAAATAAAGGAACCAATAAAAAAACCAGTGCCAATAATCCAAACCATACTGATGAAACTAAAAATGATAAATGTAAAAAGGAAAAGAAACATTCAAATAAAGAATCAGATTTAGCAGAAAGTACACAAAATTAACTTGGGTGTAAAACAATGTTATCATTAATAACTTGAGACTGATATCTTTCGATGGTTTTTTTTGTTTTTTTGTTTTTTAATAAAAATGTTTATATTATTACAAAACTAACCCTTTAAATCAAATTTAAGAATTAGCCTGTAGTTGTAGAATTATATATGTTAAAATATGGTTTAGTTTATAATTGTATTTTATTAACGCACAAAATACATAAAGTTTTAATTTTTATTTTATTTTACACTGTTAATCAATCCAATCCTATTTTCTTCAAATTTACGTTGTATTTGCTGTTGATTTAATTTGTAAGTATGCAAAAGTAGAAACGGTGGCTGCAAGGGTTAGTGTTGACCACTGGAAGTTCTATGGTTCAAACCTAAGCCCTGAATTAAAATCCAAATTATGGGTTGACATAACCTGTGCGGTTGCGAATCCCTGTAAAAAAATTACTAAACAAAAAAGATCAGATTATCTGTCTTCAAGTATATTCTGCAGAATCTACACACGTCGTGACAACAGTCGTAAATCTCAGCAGACAAAAAATGAATGCAAATGCAAGAAATTGACTGGATACTAGTAGTGTACAAAGGTAGGCATATGTTCGCATTTCTTGTTTCTTTCATGCATTGTTATCCCTTATTGAGAGAATGTATTTATTAGCGTGAGTGTTTCAGTATGTATGGGTGGGTTTGTGATGGAATACAGAGTGCCATAGACCCAACAAAATAGATTAGTTAGCAAAATATTACAACACACATTCAATACACGTTCACACCTATATACATTGCATTCATTCTATTTGGTGAATGGAGTACTCATTATTCCTCCATCGACCAGTATACAATAACAAACTAATATAATTGGGGTCGATGGGGTACTTTTGTAAACGATCCACCATTGACCCAAGTCATATACACAGCTCGAGGTGAGATGATGCTATTCCACCATCAGCCCCTCCCCATTCACTCTAATAAATACACTCACTCATACAAAACACAGAAACACAAAACACATATTTTGAAGGCTATATACAATAAAAAAAATTCCCAATTCCTCTAAAATGAGGAACGGAAGACACTGAAACTCTCTACCGTGTCCAAGAAGCATTCTTGAATTCGGCAGCATGCTTACACACACTCTGTTAGAGCCAGGGCATGACATGACTCTATTATGTGGAACACATCGAGCAACCTTTCTATGCATAAAGGGCACCTACATGTGCTTTGGCAGCCAAATGCAGGTGCCTGTATGGCCAATCCTCCTGCTCAGGTTCTCTGAGGGCCATCTACCGGTCGTTCTCTTGACCCGCAAGAGCCTCTCCGACGGCCCTGCCCACTGATCCTGCCATAATAGTTAGATGTTATATGTTTATAGGATGAATGATGGTATAACACCAGTGTAGTATAAAATACCCCGATGGCTTACCATTTCATACCTGGTTTTATGTTTGTACAAATGTATTTATTAGTGTGAATGGATTTGTGGCAGAATAAGAGTACCCTAGATCCATCAAATTAGGTTAATTATTATGGGTTAGTTAGTTATTATTATAGAGTGATTAGGGGCAAAAACATCTTTGACTGTATATAATGTTTGAAAGGTTTCCTTTTTGTATGAATTAGAGTGAGTTTCAGTATGTGTGGGTGAGTTTATGGTGGAATAAAGAGCATACCTCAGATTTAAAAAAAAAGTTTAGATGTTACTTGTTTATAACATGAACAGTCGGTTTGCCATTTCTTTTCACATTTACATAATGTTTGAAAGGTTTCTGGTTTGTATGAATGTATTTATTAGTGTGAGTGGATTTGTGGCAGAATAAGAGAAACCCAGACCTACAAAAATAGGTTAGGCGTTATATGTTTATAGACTGAATGGTGGGAAGACACGAGTGAAATATAAATACTCCAATGGCTTGTCATTTCTTTTCTCATTTATATACTGTTTGAAATGGTTTCATGTTTGTATGAATTTATTTATTAATATGTATTTCAGCATGTGGGTGGATTTGTGACAGAATATACCCTGAGTACCACCTAGTACCTAATAGATTAGTTATATAGATATTAGAATGAATGTGAATGTTTTAAACGATTATTTAAGGTTTATCACCACATGTGGAGGGTTTTTGAGCCCTAAATCTTACATCTACATCTAACTGAACAACTCTTTCAGGCAGCCAGACACTCCAAGCTTACAAGATCATGTAGATTAAGAAGTAGCAGATATACGTAGTAAAAAAAAAAAAGTACCCTCATAACAACTCATAGCCCAATCCATTTTCAGGCACAAAACTTAGTCACATTAAAAAAGAACTGGAATCTTAACTAAAGAACGCAATGAATACTGGGGACAAAGGCAAGCATGGGTCAGGCAAACAGAATACTCATCAAAACATCTCAATGTGAGGAGGAAATCCTACTTAACAGAAAGAAATTAAAAACTCTTTCAGCATATGCTCCAGTTAAATAAAACGTTTAAAAAGTTGGCCTATCAACAAATAACCTATGTTGACTATGTTTAGAAGAGGAAGAAAATGCAGGATATATCTGGCGACTGCCTGGCTGGCAAAAAGTTACTGCTCCCAGGAAAGTTGTTCTCGAACCATACTGATCTCCCAGGAAATCCTTTAGCAAATATCAGCGCAATAGATAAAAGTTGAAGTTCTAAAGAGAGAAATCCTTACAACTCCAGATGAAAAAGAAGAAAAAACGCCCCAACATTTCCATGGTAAATAAAAACCCCTCCTTCAGGAGTGCCATTTCAAAACATATGACGAGCTGGCAATGTCATGGAATCTAGCTAGCTGGTAAAAAAATAAATATTTATTGAACCAGGAAATAATTTGCACTCATTTGCTTATGTTACAATCTTTACAAAATCTATAAATCTACAGGCATATGCTTCATGCAGCTTTCGTAAGCGAGCTTATTTTGAACAAGCTCTTTATCATACAGACCACTATAGCTTTAATTGTTCCTGTTGGACTTTGTACTCTTCACATGTATGCTTGAAACTCTCCACGATGTTGCAATTTGCACCATTTTGGTCTTTGTTCAATTTTGTACCAATATAAGTTATAAATACTAGTTCTCAAGTCTTTTCTTCCTTCCTGAAACCATGGTTTCTTTTTTGAATTTTTGCCCATTTTGATGGCATCGTATAACTTTTGCCTCTTTGTCATACTTTCCCTTTTAAAATAACTTATGAGTTATGACGTTGATATTGGAATTTCTATGGGGGTTCCTGCATTCTTTATTCTATCTTGTTCCTAAGTTTGTAAACATACTTGATTTTTGCAGATGGTTCCAATAGACCAGAGGGAGCCAACCTGCGGCTCTTTGAAGGATTATTTGTGGCTCTCGATAAATGTACCCGAGTTCCCTTTTCATTTTTGTGCTATTAAATTTTTAAAAATTATTATCGTTTCGTATGTCAAAATGTCTTTTAAATCGACAGATATCACAGATCTTCCGCAATTGGCAGTTTTCATACGTTTTGTTTCACCTGAGTTCGTTGTTAAAGAAGAATTATTAGATTTAGTAGCACTTCAAGAGTCAACCCGCGGTGTCGATATTAAAAATGCATTAGATTCCATAATGAAAACTTTTGATGTGCCTCTTAATAAACTTGTAAGCATTGCAACTGATGGAACTCCGGCAATGCTGGGTAAAAAAATCGGTCTTATTGGGCTTTTAAGAGATGATTCTCAAATTCCACAATTCATACCGATTCACTGCATAATTCACCGAGAACATCTCATTACAAAATATTTAAAATATCCTGATATTATGAAAACAGTGTTACACATTATAAATTACATTCGCACCAATGCAAAAAATCATCGACAATTCAAAAATTTCCTTGAAGAATTAAAGGACGAAGAACTTCCAAATGATATTAATTTCTTTTGCATTGTTAGATGGTTATCTAGCTACAACGTATTAAATTGTTTTGTAGATTTGTTTGATCCGATAACTGCATTTCTAAAAGAAAAGGAAATAACCTATTCAGAATTAGACGACGAGTGGTTACAAGACTTAATGTTTCTGACTGATGTCATGGAACATTTGCAAACACTGAATATACAATTGCAGGGAAAAGATAAAATAATATCTGACCTCTCACAGTGTATATTTAGTTTTCAAACTAAATTACAACTTTTTCAAAAGGACATTAAAAATAAAACATTTTGTAGTTTTCCTCAAATTAAAAAAATTTGTTCCAATATTAAACAAGAAAAACTCAACGAGTATATAAAAAAGCTAGAAGGAATATTGACGGAATTCCAAAATAGATTTCAAGACTTGAAATATTTTAAATCGTCTCTTGATTTTTTTCTGAATCCATTTGAAATTAACATAATTCAAGGTGAGTTTTCCATTTCCAATATAATTATGACACAAAAAGCATCTGGAGAATTAGAATTAATAGAGATGCGAGAAGATCAAGCTCTACAATTAAAATATAAGTTGACGTCGATTACTGAATTTTGGAAATTTGTACCAGAATCGAAGTATCCTGAATTAAAAAGGGCTGCTTGTCGAATTATTTCAATATTCGAAACAACTTACTTATGTGAATCATTTTATTCCACTTTAAAATTCATGAAATCCAAACACCAATCAGTATTAACTAACCAGCATCTCAAAGAATTACTGAGAAGTGCTGTCACCAATTATTCATCAAATTTTAAAGAATTATCAAAAGAAGTAAAATAAATGTGTTTAATTTTTAACATATTTTGTACTTTTATTTATATGTTTTCAATAAATATAATTTCTGTAAAAAAAATTGTTAATACCTTTTTTGCATACCTTTTATATATGTATTTAATTGCGGCTCGCGAAAAATTTCAAATGTTGAAAAATGGCTCGGACTATCAAGGAGCTTGGCCACCCCTGCAATAGACAATGGAGTGTAAAAAGAAAATATGTATTGTACATTTCCAGCCTCATTGAAAGACACAAAAGCCTTGCTCATGTTATTTTTTGCTCTTTCTTTTTCTCTACTTTCCCTCTCATTTGAGCGATTCTGTCTTTCTGTGTTGACCGTTGCCTCTTTGAACTTGTGATGTCTCGCTACATCAGTCAACAAAAAATTAATACCTTGAAAAACAACATTAAATTGAAAAAATTTATTTTATTCTTTTGTATGAGGAAGATTATAAAAAGTATACATAGAAATATACCAGCGTAATCAAATAATAGCTGGATTTCATTCATTGGTAATTTGACACACCAAACGACACTGGAGCATCTTCAAGTCAAATCTCGCTCTTTCACCGACATTCATTCAAACTTTCTGCTCTAGACAATTATTCTAATTACTGATGAAAATATAGTTTATTTCAATTATTCTTAATAATTGAGACACCTACTTCTGTTATATTTCATGTTATTTAAAAAGTTGGAGTACGATATTATCATCCAATTCAGTTATTTACATTCTATTTCTAGTAATAACAAATGTATAACTATATTTCCAAGTAATTTCAAAACTGTAAAAGATCATTTTCATAATAATTGTTCAAATATTCAATTACCAGTTTAAAATATCAAATATTTCATTGTAAAATTAATTTCAAACACTGTACATCTTATTACTATTCAAACTGACCACAGTCATTCACCAGATTAATTTTTTTTAACGGATTAAATATACTAAAAGGAATTTATGCATTGTAACAAAAACAAAATGTGTTTCACACTTAAGATGTTTTCAATAGGCGAGTTACAAAAAGAAATTGCAATTAAAATCACATCGTTGATACCAAAGTTACAAAGTGAGATCACATACAGGAGGTACAGATGATTAAATTGTTAATCTAGAATCCTAGATCAAACCACAGCTGCCGAGCTGTGGTTTTTACTCTAGCTATACCGCGTAAGTTTCCAGACGTAGCTTGCCATCATTTTCAGTCAGATAAAGCATGTCGGCCATTGTCTGTTCGCAAATCGCTTCTTCGGCTTTCTGATGCATCTAGAATTAAAAGCAACATAGACAAAGATACTAATGTATAAAATTAAAATTCTTACTCCATTGTATTGGAACTTCTTTTCATTCGGCGGGTATTTAAAATTTGGACCAAAATTAACCGTGACAGTGGCATTTTTATGTAGTGAAATCGATGGGAAATAAGCCCCACCGTAAATATCTGTAAATGCCGTGCCCTGGCAGACGCCGTTTTTAAAAAACATTATCTTGCTTCCAGGAAGCGTTTTCAGCTTCTTTAAAAATTCAGCCACCCTGTCTTTCTCTTCATAGTAAAGATGGCTCTTGAATTTCACTAAAGGCTGAAATAAATCAATAAAATTGTAATTTGAAGGAAAAATTGATTAAAAATACTACCTTATCTTTGTATGTGCAAGGAACTTTTGCCATTCGACGGTCAATCGGTAAATCAATCATAAATCCTAAAGTGTCTCCTTCAGCATAACCATCACTATAATGCTTCCCTCTTGACTCATGAAACCTCGTTCCTTTTCTAAAATTACAAATTATTTAAAATTTATTTTAAAATCTTTATTTTTTTTCTGTCAATACCTTGATCGCCAAGCGTAGCCGAATTTGTCATAGCCCAACGGGGCTTGCAAATTGGCATATTCTTGCGCCCAGCCCAACCTCGAAGCAGAACCGTCTTTCATATCATCAATTGTTACCTCGTAATACCATGTACCTCGACTCACGCCTCAAATAGCACAAAAATTAAAAGGGGACTAGTAAGTGCGTAAAATTTTAAAATGGCGAAACTTACTGTGAGTTGCACGAACCATACAATAGCCTTTTTCACCTGTCACTGTCAAACGGTCATCAGAAACCTTCAACTGAGAAGCTCTATCATGGAGTGCTAATAAAACAGTACCAGGCACTAAAGTTCTATACAACCAACCGGGAATGGGCTTCCCCGCCCAATCACTACTTTCATCAAATTCCTACAAAATAATTTAAAAAAATCTATATGTATATTTTTTTAATGTTGTTTATTACATACCTGGCGAAAAGGTGCATGTGGATCAGGTTCGGCTAGAATATACCTATAGCCATCTTTATTGTAAGGATGTTCCAACGGATAGCCATGGGCAGGCAGCTTGGGCAAAGAGACATCTCCTCTTGCTTTTTTACTTCCCACCTGTCCAGACTCCGGAAGCTTTCTTTTAGTATTCCGTCTTATACCAGGACCTCCAGATGCTACAGATCAATTACAAAATTATTATTTTTCACAATTATTCTCTCGTGTAAGCTTATTATTAAATCAAGTTTTTTTTTCAAAATGCTTAAAAAGATAGAAGAATCACACTAATCATAAAACGGGTAGTGTGATTATGTAGAGATAACTCTTGCCATTGTCGCTGACCGGTACTGGCCTCATTGGCGGTTTTTCGTGCAGAAGTCAAAGAACAGGCAGTGCAAGTGGAAGAAATGTTTACATTCTACTCTCCCTATTTATTTTATTATTATTTACATAAATTCACTAATTTCGTGGTCCGCTTGACCAATTAATATATTACAATTAATTAAGGTTTTTAGTTGAGATAAAAAGTCAATGGCACGAGCAGGATTCAAACCCACGATCTTCGGCTTGATACGCCGCTGCTCTACCACTTGAGCTGTCGTGATCTCGATCCACTCGGACACCAACTTCCCACCTCAACCTCACCTTTTGAATTTTCCCTCCTTTTTTGCCATTTTTCAAATGTCGTGTAATCTATTTGATTCTCGGTGACAAATGAAATGGACACGGAGATTTTTAGTGAAGGTGTACTTCATTTTTACTTATTAAATTCACTAGTTTTCATGGTCCGCTTGACCAATTAATATCTTTCAATTAATTAAGGTTTTTAGTTGAGATAAAATGGCAAAAAGGAGAGAAAATTCAATAGGTGGGGCTTAGATGGGGAGTTTGTGTCCGAGTGGATCGAGTCACGATAGCTCAAGTGGTAGAGCAGCGACGTATCTAGCCGAAGATCGTGGGTTCGAATCCCGCTCGTGCCATTGACTTTTTTATCTCAACTAAAAAACTTAATTAATTTTAATATTATTTACATATAATATTCAAAAATATGCAGACGGATTGTAGCAAAAATCAAACCCTGATGTGTTTAGAAATTTTCCTCGTAATTGACTATTATACGCCAATGTAAGCCAGACCCCATCTTAGCATAAGTTATGAATAGTTGACAAATATAAGTTAATAATAATAGGAATTTCAAATATATGTTGGAAATAAGGCCATAAATCAGACTAAAGAGATGTTTTCCATAAACTGGTAAGTTATAAAAATGCAAAATGAATTTTTATTTTATAATGAATTATTGGATTGTCCAGGTGTCTGAAAAAAATGGTAGTCAGTTGACGAGAGGTCAGGAGAATAGGGAGGGCAATAAACCAAAATTCAAGTTTTCATGTTGTCACAAGTGAGCCATGGGGCCGAGCATTCTTGTCTAACAGAATCGGCCTTTTCCGATTGACCAAAGATGGATTCAATAATAATTCTTCAATAATGCTAATTTCTGCCCCTCTTTTAGAGCAAGGCATAAGGAAGGCTTTAAGCTTCCATTTTTCCCCCCATACAAGAAAATAGTTAGAAGCCGAGGTCCGCCGATATGGGGTCAGGCACATTGGGGTGGTGGATGGACAAAAAAAATACTAATTTCTGGTGCTCTTCAATTTGAGAGCCATACATTTCAGCATTGATTTTTTCGCCATGATTCAAGAAGATGAAGTAAATCAGCACAAATAAAGCCCACCAAAACATCACCGTTTTTAATGGATTGGTGGCTTTAGAAATGTGGTTAGAAAGGAGGTAGTCCTAATTTTATTATTATTCTTGTAATAATGATAGATTGAGTCATGTTTATTAATTTAATAATTTGTGTAGGTTTAAAATAGAAAATAACAGTAATATTGAACTAATAGTTTGGATTAGGAAGTATATTTACATCTTTCTGAAAGCGATCTGTTTTTTGAGTTGAGTATTAATGGAATAAAAAATATTAAATTAATTTCTAATCCTATTCAAATTCTGAATCAGTTGCTTGATCTTAGGACTAGAAATGTTCTCAAGATTATTATTGTCAAAAATAATATTTTATTGGAATATTTAAAGATTAAAAAGAAGAAGGTTTATACTTCTATATTTAGGGTATGAGCCTAAAAGCTTAAATTTAGCTTATCTTTTTGTAAAGTGTTGTATTTAAGCATAAGGGGCTTTGAAACCCTAGGACTTAGTTGTAAACTAAGCTTTATAACCACCAAAAGTAACAAGTGTTATGCAAACTTCATAATGATTTTTTTTTTTTTGCAGTTTAATGCATAAAGAGCCCAACTTTTGAGCTTTTTCACCTTTCTAATTGCCTTAAGGTGGTCAGCGACAGTCGATTTGCTAACTGAAAGATTCGTTGCACGTTCTCGAACAGTTTGTTCTCGGATGTTCTTCGAATTAATTTAAAATCTTAATCTTAATTTTTAAAAAACAATCTCTGAACGGTGCACTCACACTGCCATCGCCCCAGACTTCATTAATGTTTCGGTTAACTGTTCCAACCAAATTTATAATCATAAAACAAAATTAAGTGAATATCACGCATTGACATCTAAATAAAGATTGAATTATTCCATTTCTGTTTAGAAGAGGATTAAAAAGTGTTGCCATTCGTACAAAAGAATCGAACAAACATAAATTTTGGAAATCATGAGATGCGGTCTGGTATGACGTAGGTTTGAGAAAAACATTTTCTTTATCGTGCCAACGTTTCAATCTTTATTGAGATCATCTTCAGGGCTCAAAGTGTTTGTTATCTGCGTAAAAATGCTATTCTTGTGTGTCGTGTTAAGAGTGTGAAGATGATCTCAATAAAGATCGAAACGTTGGCACGATAAAGAAAATGTTTTTCCAAAACCTACGCCACACCAGACCGCATCTCACGATTTCCAAATAATCATTGACTAACGGTCACTAATCACCACACTTAAATCAGTTTATTATATAGAGGAGTAATTAAAAGAAAACATGAAAACCTGCATTATTTTCTGACTATCCAATATTTAAAAACTATTTTTTTTTAAATACTATTGCCTAACTGATATAGGTAATAAAATAAAAAAACTAAAAATCATTATTTTGCAGAACTTGAAAAAATGCATCACCTCTAAGTTAACATGCTTAAAACAAGCCTCTAAAATTTGAAAATGTCTAAGTTCTCTCTTTGCATTGAACATGCTCTATATTAGATACATTCTACTACTTTTATTTGTACAATTTAATAAATATAAATCATTTACCTATCGTTTTAGCTTTAAAAAAAAAATTCTGCCAAAATGTTCAAAAATATCTAATTTTTTAATATAGCGCACATAAAAATTGTTAATAATAATATACATTCCTTAAATGGTTGAGGTTAATTACAATTACACTAAAAAGTAAATTAATTCCTGTCAGGTTTCGCAAACAGGACCACTTGACAATGCAATATGGATCAAAGAAAAGTACAGTTAACGACTTGAGAATAAGAACATTAACAACTTCAGCCAGCACGACCCCCTTGATACTAAATTAAACTTAACTTAAAAAGTAATTATATCATAAAAATAAATTTTTTGGTCTTCCTTAAAGGTAAATCATTATTCAAAGGATTTATAAGAAATTTTACATTAAAGGATCACACTATTATTGTATTGTTGTTTGGTCATTTTTGAATAATATAAATGTGCGCAAAAACAAAAATATTTTTAAGTTATAATTAAAATAAAACTAGATAAATGGAAACACAACATTTACCATGCTTAAGCCCTTGTTTACCATGCTGTATTCCCATGTCAGTGACTTTCAACTGTCCTTGCTTTATCATCGCTTCATAATTTGGCTTTATCTGCGTAAGATCCTGTTGAAGCAAATAATAAACAGTGCCTTCGTCTGGCGTGTCTTCGACTCCAAAATTTATATTTGTTTCTTTAACGAGCGCTCTCAAAACCTGGGGTGAAGAATTTTTAGAATTGTTTTTATTAAAAAAAAAAAAGTGAAATCTTACTGAAGAGTGCATGGATTGTTTGATCCTACGAGCGAACGTCGTCAATCCTTCCCAATGCGATTCTATAAATGGTATTATATCCTTGTCCTTGTTGAATTTGCTCTTAGGTATGCCTTCTTTTATGCTCGCTTGCATTAAATTTGCCATAGCGGTTGTGCATATCTGAGGAAATACTAAAAAAAGGCAGAATTTATATTTTAAAAAATTCACGATTTTTAAAAGAATCTTGAAACTTGTCTATACATGGTGTATTTTTTTTAAAGCTTTCTAATCCAGAGCTGGAACAATTTTTGCATACGAAAACATAATTCATCATAAAAGGTACCAGTTTTCCTAATTGGTATCCAATACAAGATTCATGAAACCATCTGTTGCAGTTGGCACAAAGGAGTTCAACAATATTTAAATTCCTTTCTTTTCCGCTGTAACATAAATTTAAAGATATAATTTTCTTTAAAAAAAATTATTAACATTGTAAATTACCAATAACAGTTTCCATCTCTGTCTGATTTGTTTGCCGAGGTTACAGAAATTTTGTCGTCTTGCTCGGACTTATCATCAGTTTTCACCTCGCTTTGTTGATCCCCTTCAGCCATAGGGCTTGAAGGCTGGGATTCCTTTATTTCATCCACATTACTTCGCTCTTCGGAATTCAACCTATAGAAACAAGTTCATGTTATAACATAATATTATGTCACAATTAAAAGACAAGAGATTAGGAAGATGTAGTTAAACTCTTGGTCTTTTCAAACTCAACAATTACTGGAAATAAATTAATGTAAGTTTAAGAAGAAAACTTGTGCGTTGAAGATAACAGAAATAAAAATCGGAAGGAATCATCAGTTTTTGTAGAATTTAACTTGTCATTTCATGTTTCTTGGATAAATTCACTCCTAGAAAAATTCTGTCATCAAATTATGTTTATTGCATGTAACAAGATCTTTAAAGAACTACTTCAGGAGGACATTTGTCTTTTCAGAAGCCAAAAACAAATTAATATTTTTTATATAATTTTTCGGTTTTGAGAGCCTCAAAAATTAAACATTTGACTTGAAGATAGATCTTTTTTATTGCATTCTAACTTTCATATTTTGGTATGGATTTCTTTTAGAAGTTTAATTATTTAAAATTATGCAAGAGATACTTTAAAAAAATTATATATTTTGATTAAACTATAGAATTCTCTGTTCTGAGAACCACAACAATTAAAGGTCAAACTTGAAGAAATGGATAGGTATTTTTTCAAACTCTCACTTTCTTATTATTTGTGGGTACTACTTTCAGAAGATTAATAATATAAAACTATATGAGAAGCTTTAAAAATTTTAACATTTTACCAAACTGGGGAATTTTCGGTTTTGAGAGCCTCAAAAATTAAACATATGACCTGAAGCAATTATAGATTTCTTTTTGTTGTATTCTTTTATATTTTTCTATGGATTTCTTTCGAAAGATTAATTACATACAATTGTACAAGAGACGCTTAAAAAAATTTAAATTTGAACAAACTATTGAAATCTCTGTTCTGAGAACCTCAACAATTAAAGGTCAAACTTGAAGAAATGGATAGATATTTTTTCAAACTCTACCTTTTCTATTTTGTTGTATTCTAACTTTTATATTTTTCAATTAATTAAGGTTTTTAGTTGAGATAAAAAAGTCAATGGCACGAGCAGGATTCGAACCCACGATCTTCAGCTAGATACGCTGCTGCTCTACCACTTGAGCTATCGTGACCAACTAAAAAACTTAATTAATTGTAATATATTAATTGGTCAAGCGGACCACGAAATTAGTGAATTTTATATTTTTGTATGGATTGCTATTAGAAAATTAATTATATACAATTATACAAGACGCTTAAAAAAATTTAAATTTGAACAAACTATTGAAATCTTTGTTCTGAGAACCTCAAAAATTAAAGGTCCAACTTGAAGAAACGATATACCTTTTTTCAAACTCTACCTTTTCTATTTTTTGGGTGTTGTACTTCCAGAAGATTGCTGATATTAAGACATGTTTAAAAAAATTTTAAAAATGAACAGAAAAAATAAAAAAGCAAAGGTGTTATTTCATAGTCTTTTTTATATTGATTTCTTCATGGCTCGGAAGACTACTGTTACCAAGCTGAATTGATTACAGCCTCTTACTATGGTCACTGTTAATATCAATTATTATTCTCTGATCTGGAAATAGTAAAACACCAAAATAACAAGAAAACCAAAGACTTATTATGCAAAGATGTTTGGTTTTATATTGTATCAATTTTTATGAAAAAACTGTCAACTCGAAAGACTGCGAACAAATTATATTGTTTGCAAGCCCAAACAATTGTTTTTATGGTTTATGTTAGGTCCCACTAAGAGGTAAGAGGAAAATCTGTATAACTAAAGTTCTGTTTGTCTTTTTTGTCCATGTTAGTTTCTATTTCTTCAATTTGAAATTTGACAACAGTGAAGAAAAAAAAGGGCTATTTCTTAGAATGCACTTACATATTGATGGTCAGGTCAAAAATAAACTTAGCGCGTAATAAGAGAAGTGCATAATTGAAAAGCCGAATCATCGAAGAGTGCAAATTTTTTCATGCTCTAACTTTTCTATGGATTTCTTTTATAAGACTAATATTATAATATTACTGAGGACCTGTTTTAAAAAATTTAAAATTTGACCGAACTGAAATTCTCTGTTTTGAGAACCTCAAAAATTAAAGGTCAAACTTGAAGGAACCATGTAATTTTTTTCATGCTCTAACTTTTCTACAGATTTCTTTCATAAGACTAATAATATAACTTATTTAAGACGTTTTAAAAAAAATTAATATTTGACCGAGCCATAAAATTCTCTGTTCTGAGAACCTCAAAAATTAAAGGTCTAACATGAAGGAACCAAATAGCTTTTTCCATGCTCTAACTTTTCTATGGATTTCTTTCAGAAGACTAATAATATAAAATTACTGAGGACCCGTTTTAAAAAAATTTAAAACTTGACCGAACTGGCAAAATGACTGAAATGGCAAAAGGAGGGAAAACTCATAAGGTGGGGTTGAGATGGGGAGTTGATGTCCAAGTGGATCGAGGTCACGATAGCTCAGGTGGTAGAGCAGCGGCGTATCTAGCCGAAGGTTGTGGGTTCGAATCCCTCTCGTGCCATTAGCTTTTTTTCATCTAAACTAAAAACCTTAATTAATTGTCACTAATAATATAATTTATCTAAGACACGTTTTAAAAATAATTAATATTTGACTGAACCATAGAATACTCTGTTCTGAGAACCTCAAAAATTAAAGGTCAAAAACAAAGAAATCAAATAGCTTTTTTCATGCTCTAACTTTTCTATAGATTTCTTTCATAAACCTAATAATATAAAATTACTGAGGACGTTTTAAAAGATTTTAAAATTTGACCGAACTACGAAATTCTCTGTTCTGTGAACCTCAACAATTAAAGGTCGAACATGAAGAACCATATAGCTTTTTTCATGCTCTAAGTTTTCCATGCATTTCTTTTATAAGACTAATAATATAATTTATCTAAGACACGTTTAAAAAAAAAATTTTGACAACCATAGAATACTCTGTTCTGAGAACCTCAAAAATTAAAGGTAAAAAATGAAGAAATCAAATAGCTTTTTCCATGCTCTAAACTTTTCTACAGATTTCTTTCATAAGCCTAATAATATAAAATCACTGAGGACCCATTTTAAAAAAATTTAAAACTTGACCGAACTATGAACTTCTCTGTTCTGAGAACCTCAAAAATTAAAGGGCAAACATGAAGAACCAAATAGCTTTTTTCATGCTCTAAGTTTTCTATGGATTTCTTTCATAAGACTAATTATATAAAATCACTGAGGACCCATTTTAAAAAAATTTAAAACTTGGCCCAACTATGAACTTCTCTGTTCTGAGAACCTCAAAAATTAAAGGGCAAACATGAAGTAATGATGGATCCCTTTTTTAATTATTATGTTATTATTGCTATGTATAAAATAATATATATATTTATTTATATCTTATTATTATCTTATACTTATTATCTTTTTTTTAATTAATTTCTTCATGGCTCGGAAAACTACTGTTACCAAATTTGATCGTTTACAGCCTCTTACTATGTTGTTATTAATAATTACAATTCTCTAATCTGTAAATAGTAAAACACAAAAATAACAAGAAAACCAAAGACTTATTATGCAAAGATGTTTGGTTTTATATAGTATCAATTTTTATGAATAAACTGTCAACTAGAAAGACTGCAAACAAATTATATCATTTACAAATCCAAACAATTTTTTTATTGTTTAAGCTAAGTTCCACTGAGAGGTAATGGGAAAATTTGTATACCTAAAGTTTTGTTTTTTTTCTTGTTAGTCTGTATTTCTTGAGTTTGCAATTTGTTAGTGGCGAAGAAAAAAAGGGATATTTCTTAGAATTGACTTACATTATTGATGGTCGGGACGAAAATAAACTGAGGGCCTAATAGGAGAAGTGCATAATTGAAAAGCCGAATCGTCGAAGAGAGCGAATAGGAATTCTCAGTTGTGAGAGTTGCGACTTTGTGAGTACTGAGTAGCGAGTACCTCAAAGATCAGCAAGCGACCTAAACAAGAAAGCCGAGGGAAACCTCACGATATACGCTATCGGCCTCCTCTATCGCTTTGACGTATCGTTTCGCCATCATCATCGGACGAGGTTCTCGATTTGTTAGCTCAAGTCGGACGTATTTGACAGCACTCCGAAGCTCGCATCGGACGTGAATAGTCTCGTTTTGAAGTTTTTTAAGCTCGCCTATTATTGCCGAAAGGGAAAAAGTGTCATCTCGGTCGATCGGAGTCGATTCCCCCACAGGGACAGCCTGATCGGTGAACGTTTCGACCAGTTTTCCCGTCATGTTCCATCCGGAGGCATCACCCTGAACGAGTTCCACTTAGCCCCAGCAATCGCGGCTTTTCCACAATCCCGTGTCAGCGATGATAAAGCTCATTCGGCCCGATCTTGGTAAAAGTCGTTTTTGAATCGGCCGATGATGTCGCGGGGCGTGACTCGAATCTCCGTTCAAATTATCTTTTGTTTACATTTCGAAATACACGTCTGAACCGTTCTGGATAAAATAATATTCGTTGGCACAGAGAAAAAAGGAGATAAAATGGGACCGATCGTACTCGAAGAATACGAATTGATGCGAGACTCCAAATACAGATTGTAAGTTTTTAACCATCCTTCCTTGTATTTTCAGTTATAAATTGATTTTTCCCCTCTTATCAACATTACACACCTAACAACCTCTTTTTTACAACGATTTCAAACTCAATTTGCATTTTTAAAATTCCACCCTAAAAACGCACTTCCTTTGATAAGAGCTGTCAGGTCACAATCCTTGACAAGAATGTGGTCAGTGAACAAAGAAAAATTCACTGACATTACAAAAAGAAATTATTATTGATTTTTACCGTAAATAAAACTCTTTTAGTTTAATTTAAATATCAAATCACAAACAAGTATTAAACAATCTAGTGTAAGTCAGTTTTGATCACAGTGATCATGGAAAAATTCTATATCACAGTTTTCTCTGTCGTATATCATATCTTCACATCATCATCTTTGCATTATTTATAGCGCTCTCAGCAATCAACAGAAGACTTGATAACAATGATAAACTGGGAAAATTTTCATTTGAAAATGTTTATAAATTAATCCATTTATTTAGTGGTCTAATTGACCGTATAAATGATTTCAATTAATTATTCTCTTTATATAAGCTCTTGGTTGAAATGAAAAAGTTAGTGTCGCGAGTGGGATTCGAACCCACGACCTTCGGCTCAATACGTCGCTGCTCTGACCGCTTGAGCTATCGTGGCTTCACTGTTAGTAGCTTAGTAGCTGTTAGTAAAGTGATATTTCTTTAATCATCCATTTATGTTTAGTGGCCTAATTGACCATTTAAATTATTTCAGTTAATTATTCTCTCTATGTAAGGTCTTGGTTGAGATAAAAAAGTCAGTGTCACGAGCGGGATTCGAACCCACGACCTTCGGCTCAATACGTTGCTGCTCTGACCACTTGAGCTATCGTGGCTTCAATCCACTCGGGTACCAAATTCCTACATCCCTTCGCATTTTACCTCTTTTTGTTATTTTTGAAATGTCGAGTAATCTGGATTCGATTCTCAGCGACTTATGAAGTGGCCATGGGGAGCTGTTAGTGTAGTGATACATCTACTTATCATATATTAATCCATTTATGTTTAGTGGTCTAATTGACTGTATAAATTATTTCAATTAATTTTTCTTTTTATTGTAAGGTCTTGGTTGTGATGAAAAAGTTAGCACGAGCGGGATTCGAACCCACCCAGCCGAAGGTCGTGACATTGCATAAAATGTAAAATAAAAATAAATAAATAAGTAAAACCACCTTGCATGTATAAAAAATAAGAAGCAACAAAAAGAAAAACAGCATATATATATACATTTTGTAAAGCATGGTTCTAATCACAGATTTTTTGTTTACAACAATTGAAATTTCAAGCATTTTCGTTCATGGTCAGATTAAAAGATTGCAAACTCACTCCAAATTTAATTATTTCTCATATAAATAAACCATATTTCTTTTTTCTCGCTAAATTATTTTATTTTCCATTATTCCTAGATAATTTAATTTGGTCGTTTCCGATCATTTTGGTTTGTCTATTCTCTCCGGATTGGTTTGACAGAAGTGTTTTGTTATTTTGCCATCTTTGGTGGTTAGGGTTTTAATCAGGGAAAGACCCTTCGGCTGGGTGGGTTTGAATCCCACTCGTTACACTAACTTTTTCATCTCAACCAAGACCTTAAAAAAAAGAATAATTACTTTATTAACTTGCAATTAATATTTTTATAACTGTGAAATTATTAACATGCATTTGATTTGTTGGATCAACACGCAAATGATGTCTTATCTAATTGTAGACTTTAAGGAAATATCATTTAATTTATCATTTTAAAACATAATGAGATGTTTTCGGAAAACTTTGATTAGGTATCATTATTTGCTTAGGTCTGTTGACAAAATTGATAATTCATATGTTGCGACACAATTCCGTGCAATATTTGTTATATTATTATACACTGATGGACAAAATTAACGCACCACCTTTAAATTTTAATGCATTTAACTTTATTCGTATTTTGCGTATCAAAAATAGGTTAGATGTGTAAAAATAAGACATTTAAAAAGAAAATGTGTATTATGAAATTCTAAAAAAAAAAAATTATCGTATAAAGAACAACAAAAAAATAAAATAAAAATGTTTAAAAAAAAATTGACCTCTTTTTGAACTATCGTGTCAAATTAAGTAATAAATAAGGCTTTGTTTACATTTGTACTGATTAATCCTATTTGTAGAAAAGTAGCATTATGCCCTTCCATTTTGCTATGTTTAAACAGCGTTTCAGTTAATCTTTTTCCTTGTTTTATTTCATTTGATATTATCCTTATTCTTAAAAAAATTTCAACAGCTCCAGTCAGGCATTTGTATGAGTATGAGATTATCAGGGTCATAATATTATTAGAGGAAGGATAAAGCAAGCGCGAAGTCGCCAGGAGATGGTGTAAATCACTATATAATAGAAAAGGTTCTTCGGCACTTAAGAGAAACAGGACTTCTCACTAAAAGGACAGGACAAGGTCGACCTAGGTCTACAGATGAGAGACAATAGATTCCTTTGTCATCAGCATCTACTAAACTGACAATGAAATAAGAAATTTGATAATATTGAAATGTTTCAATTTCCAAGACTATAAGAAGGCTTAATAGCCTCATGGTCTGGCACCCAGCTTTTGGACTTGTTACCACAGCTCAGAAAATGGCCATGGTTCAATTCGCACGAGAACATGTAAATTGGGCATTGGAAGATTGTGTGTTCTTTTTAAATAGTTTGTTGGCCTCAAATCTTCATTTGGGCATAATTTCATATGGACGCTCGGAAGAAAGGTACGCTCCGTGCTGTATGATTCCTCAGGCGGTATTCGATGGTGGGTCATTGATTGCGATGGCATTTCCATGGACGCCTGGATTGAATTGATTGTGCGAGGAAGATCCCTAACTTCACAGAGATAAAAGATATAATCGAAGAAAATGTAATGCCATTTCCCCCCCCCCCAACGGTCAGAGATTGTTCCTAATGCAGGATAATGCCAGGCCCCATAGAGTATTGTGGATGAATACCAGAATGAAGTTGGAATTTGCTTGGTGTGGCTAGCTCAAAGTTCAGATTTGAACCCGTTAAAACACATTTAGGCCAACTTAAGCTATAAGTACGGCAGCGAAACCCATATCCTAAGACTCTAGAAGAGTTGGAAACGGCTTTTCTTGACGAACATGAAAGGATTTTATCAGAAATCTTTTCCGAAGAATGGAAAGGCTTTAACGGATGTAATTCGTGCCAGAGATGAAAATACTCTGTATTAAAGGGGACAAAAAAGTTTTATTTTTTATTTTTATAATATGAACTAAATACATTAAAAGTTAAGTGTTAATTTTATCCATCGGTGTTTTTGGGTGCTTCGTTCAGTTTCACATTTTGTACCAAGTTTCAATGAGCGCAAAATTCTTCTGGATTCAAGTCACTAATTTCGTGGTCCGCATGACCAATTAATATCTTACAATTAATTATGGTTTTCAGTTGAGATAAAAAAGTCATTGGCACGAACGGGATTCAAACCCATGATCTTCGGCTTGATACGCCGCTGCTCTACCACTTGAGCTATTGTGACCTCGATCTATTTGACATTTGAAAAATGGCAAAAAGGAGGGAAAATTCAAAAAAGGTGTGGTTGAGGTGGAAGCTTGTTTCCGAGTGGATCGAGGTCACGATAGCTCAAGTGGTAGAGTAGCGGCGTATCAAGCTGACAGTCGTGGGTTCAAATCCCGCTCGTGACACTGACTTTTTTATCTCGACTTAAAACCTTAATTAATTGTATGATATTAATTGGTCAAGCGGACCACGAAAAATAGTGAATTTAAGCTTACTGAAGAGTGCTAGCTGACATCAGAGATATGCACATTCGACCAATACTGATCGTGATCAATTGGGTAAAAAGAGATCTACTCTTCTCTACTCTAATCTGATCTATCAGTAGTCATATTTTGGAGAAGGAATTAAATATTTTTGAGTCATAAGACCCTTCCTTTGAAACCAAGATTGTGAATTAAAATTGTAAAATCAAACCTAACAAATTTTGGAAGGAAAAAAAGAATGTGTTAAAGATAGCAGGAAAAATCTTAGAATCCTAACTGGATTCTTTACAAGACACTGCAGGTTAAATAGGCATTTGAAGAATGTTTTAGGATGTACCACATTACCGTAGAAAAAATTCATCTATTAAAACCAGACCTTCTAATCAAATTTTGATGAACTAGGGACTCAACATCATTTAAGTGAAAGAGAGGTCCTAGAGACCAAACTTTGAGTGATTATGTAAATAAAACATTAATCAATCAACAGTGGGCTACAGTCACATGGCTACAGGAGCATGCAATAACACACAAAGTGTGCAGTGTATTACCCACCCCAAATATTATTTTATTTCTTAGTACATTAAATCCATCCTTTGAAACCAAGATTGTAAATTAAAATCAACAATATTTTGGTCATTATGGACCGAAATGACTTTGGCATTTTGCTATCTTCAGTGGGTATGCATGGAGAAATGCTGAAACGTGTCTGTCCGACCAATCCAGCGGGTTAGGCAGACCAAAATATAGGTTCATCACCTTGCAGACTAAAGGAAGAAATTTCACAACATATCATGCCAATATTGTGTACATTTTATTATAAAATTATTGAATTTATTTTATATTCCAGATATACAAATGCAATAGATAAAGCTCTGAAAAATTTTGAGTACAGCACAGAATGGGCTGATCTCATTTCAGCGTTGGGAAAACTCAATAAGGTATTGATGCAAATTTTTTTTTTTAATTTAAATTTAAAAACAGAATCAAACGTTCATTTAATTGATTTCAGGTCATCGTTTCTCACACAAAATTTCCAGTTATTCCTAGACGAATCAAAATTAGTAAACGGCTTGCGCAATGCATGCATCCGACTCTACCTTTCGGGGTGCATCTGAAAGCATTGGAGACGTACGACGTTATTTTTAAATCCATGGGGACACAGAGGCTTAGTCATGAATTATTCATTTATAGTGCAGGTGATTATAGTACTTGTATGGACAAGAGTTTATTAGCTAATATGTACATATAAATGACTCATGTGTCAAAAAGATAACATGTATTTTTTTGTAGACTCTTTTTCCTGATTTATTTTCTTGTGTAGTATAAATTCACTATGGAAAATACAAATCTCTGTATAATGTTAATGTTGGAAAATGTTAAGAATTAGAATTACAGTGAAAACCTGTTTATCCAGACCCCGAATATCCGGATCTGTTACTTAAAATATTTTTTATAAATTATTTGGAGATTGTGAGATGCGGTCTGGTATAGTGGTGTAGTCCCATGATATCGAAATAATCATTAATTAATGGTCACTAAACACCACACATTTTTTATAAATTTTTCATAATTCTCATTGTATGTATATCAATTTTTAAAATTCATAATTCCACTATGGGACCTTTAAGTTGTCGTTTGAAATTCGTAAAGGCCACCAAATCGCCCTTCCAATAGTCACGCAATCTAAGAGGCCGGAGAGGCTGACAGTCATATTTTTGTTAAAAAATAAATAAATAAAATAAAAAAAGATGTACACTATTTTTAAAAGACTAGAAATTGTTGTATGTTGGCTAACATTGAAAAGGTTTTTTTTATTAAGTATATTTTTATTATGTTTTTTTTTAATATAAATTTTTAACATATAAATATAAACATATATAACATATGTAAACATATAACATATAAATTTTTTGAGAAACGTGTGTCCGGACTTAAACAAAAATAAAATTAATAAAAACTATCTATTACTTTCAAAGTAACCTGATATATAAATAATAGTGTTCTCTTTCGTATGTGTTTTTTCCATTTTTATGCCACGGTACCAATAAAATAACAAATCTTTGGATCATCCGGATAAGTCCTGGTCCCTTCAAGTCTAGATAAACGGATTTCTACTGTAATTAGATTTTATATGAGCAATATATTTGAATATCAATTTATTTTATTTAATTATTCAATGTATGATTAATTGTATAGGCCTATTTCCACTTTTTGGGGATGCAGCAATGAAAGTGAGACCTGATTTGCTGAGAATTTATGAGACGCATTTTGTTCCTCTTGGCCACAGGTTTCGTCCAGCCCTTCCTGGTTTCCTCAGTGGTGTATTGCCAGGATTTGATAAAAATTCAGATCATTTCATTAGGTATTAAAAAAAATTAGATGCTCGAGTGTTTTATTTTAAGTTGTTTATTTTAAAAAAGGACAAATGAACTACTGGAAAATGTATGCGAAGGAGTAGGCTCGACGTTTTTCTACGGCTGCCTTTGGGAATGCCTTACATCGAATTCGTACATTAGGCTTCCTTCGATTATATTCCTTTTGTCCCATTTTGACAAGAAACTACCGACAGAAGACCAAGCTCACATCATGGGAAACAACATAGAGACCATGGTAACCCAACCATCTTCAACTTTTTTTTTTTAGTTTATTTATTTTAAATCTTTTTTTATAGTTGTGCGGACTCATGGCATGTATCGAGGACAGCAATATACTTGTACAAAGAAATGCTTTAGACTTATTGATGCTCGGATTTCCGATGCACAACAGCCATTTGACGACAGACGACATGATTCGATTGGTGACTAAAGCCCTTTTTACCATTCTCAGGAGAGATATTTCATTGAAGAGGTCAACATTTTTAAGAAAATCCTATTAATTTTTACTCTTATTTTTCTGAACTGTCCCATCAATTTTTTATTTCTTGAATGCTTTTGGGACAGCAGATGGTCCCTCATAGAATTAAAAAATAGTGGAACAGTTCAGAAAAAATATGCACATAAAACATATACTTTTTATTTTAGACGATTATATGGATGGCTGTTGGGATCTGAGGTAAACATGACTATTCTGTCCCACCATCCTTCGATGAGAAAAGCCAAAGCAGAAGGAAGGAGTACTTCTTACTTCGATGTGTTTTCAAAAGATATGCTTGTCAAGGTAATTCATCATTCAACATTTATAATGATCCCCAATTTAAAAAAAATGTTTTTGTATTAGGCCGTGAAAATAATTTTGGACAATTCCATCGGAATTTTACCGTTTGATTTACGCCCTTTCAATCTATTAATATCCATGCTTGATAAAGATAAAAAAGAAGAAAACATAGGGCAGGCAATTTTAGGCGATGTTTTATTTGAATACTTCAGGTATGTTTGTAATACTTACATTTCAGTTTAAAATTTTTAATATTCAATTTATATTGAAGGTTGTTGTATTTATGCTGCCACACGGAAACAAAAAATGAGAAAGTAGAATTACTACAATGTGTAAATACTTTATTTGGAATATTAGAATCAAAATATCTCTGGCAATACATGGGACAATTGTTAGAAAGGGCTTGCCAAAATCCTGTGCATTGTTCCGGATCAGAAAACCCTGTGAAAAGAGTAGCTTCTGGTGAACCTGGCGTCGTTGAGGTAAGCCGTTTTTATTTTTTTGTTAATTATTTAATTAATGCCTTTTATATGTGTCTTTTAGATATGTACATTAACGGAGTATCTTCTAGACACGATATCGTTAGAAGCTTACGCAGATACGCCCAGTGAACACTTGCCGTCGTTGTTTCTACAGATTGTGACTCTTCTTACTAAGCATTACAATTCTTTGAGCGCCATCCAGGTTGCGAATGGTTTGAAACTATGTGCGAAAATTTTAACGAGGGTCCAGCCAGTTATAATCGGCCACCATAATATAAGCATGGGCGATATGACCGACACCGACCCGACTGACAGTTCGATAATGAATTCCATCCAAGAATCGTCATCGTCCGATTTTAACCAGAACACCGATTCGTCCAGCATAGATGAGAAAATGGATCTTCCGAAAGATGACGAACAGGTCGGCGAGAGGGATTCACTTTTGGAACAATGTTTAAGACAATACGAGGACTTTTATGTTACCTTTATATGCGGGACAAGAGCCAAAGTCGGAGAAACAAATGACATAAACTATCTTTTACAAAAGCTTAAAGTAAAAAGTTCAAAGCCCGATGAGAAAACGAAACAGTTAGACTCGGTTTTAACGACAGTATTAAAGGAAAAATCCGACAAAAACCGAAATGATCTACCAGACAATGAGTGGGTTGAGCCCATGAAACTTGCTTCACAACTTTTAGTAGATTTATCAACATTGCAGACCTTTTTTCAGTCAGCCAATTCTCAACGTGTTGTAGAAATCGATCTTTACAGTAAGTTACTTTAAAATATGCACTTTATTTTCATTTTTTACGAACCTATAATTAAAATTTTTTGCCTCTCACCCTTCTGCATTTTAATCTCCATGTTTGATGTATTTAAGTCATAGCTCAAAAATAACTAAACTTGTAACACATTGTTTTTATCTTCTTTATTTGTGACTGGTGTTTTAGTTTTGATTAAACTTCACAACCGTCCCTGTTCGGGCACCAATTTGTCACCTTTCTGACAAACAATTCCGCACCGACGTCAGTTCGTAAAGGGGGGATTCTCAGGAAACCAAGCACACTTTAATCAGGTGCCATATTATTTTATCAATGGGGCAAATAGTAAATCTCTTTGAAAGAGTGGAAACAAAAAATGACTGTGTTTTAATGGACCCCACTATGAACTTGGACTCCAAACTTCCAGGTTCAAAAGCGGAGGTTGTTCCTCTGAGCCATGGTACTGTAAGCAGACGATGGCACGGCGGCCGAATAATCTCTCAATATTCACTTGCTTTTCTCTAAGCGACAAGAGATGAGTCGGCATAAGCGCGTCGCTACTTATTCTTGTGTAGGGGAAAGTAAGGTTTAGAATTCGATAAACCAGAGAGCATATTCATTAACATTTATTGTACACAATTTCGTCTCTTAACGGTACCCAAACCACAGAATCTTAATTAATCTAAAAGTCAGCCACAACTCTAAATCTGGGATGAGTCTATCATCAAAGGGACTTACCCCAAATGGCACTCGCCACGATTAGTGTCCACAGCATCTTTTCTCTCGACCGTTGACTTGGCTCGATGGGTCGCAACGGCTGAGTCCTCTTGTTGAGTCCCAGACGGAGTGTGGCTGCTTCTCTTCCGGATCGACTCCTGGACTTGGCTGTTCACTGCCTAGGGTGAGTCTTTGATTTTAACTCAGGAAAGTCTTCCGAGGTGACTGCCTGAAGTGAGTCCCTGGTTTGGAATGCCTGGGGTGAGTCTTTGATTTTGACTGATTTTTGATTTCCCATTCATCCCTTTTATACCGGGTTCTCTATCGGAGTAGGGGTGGAAAGGAAACTCAAAAGTCGGGGGAGTTCCCACGCCGCGGGTGGGCCAGCAAAGACGGGTGTCGCGCACAGGGTCACCCCTATTTACGATGTCCCACATGGCTACATATTTTTGACCATGTGAATTCAGGTCTGGTCTGAAGGACTTACTTCAGCACTAAATAACTAGACGATAGTTATTTATTTGATCGGTTGTCCAACTATTGCTACTTTATGTTCTCCAGGACATGGGTCTGCCACACCCTTCGACGTTCTTATCTATCTGTCCACCTGGGTAATTATTTCCAAGTTATGTTTGACAGATTTGAGGGGGACGTCACGTTGTTCCCGTCTGGGTGGTCGCCCCTTCAGATTTGAAACCTTTGTTTCCCTTCTATCGTTTACCCTAATTGGTTCTTATTTTAACAACTAAAACTTATCCCTAAGACAGGGACCGGCTTACAGTACTTCTTGTTTCTAGTCTGTCTGTAAACCTCTTTTATGTTTCACCTCTTAATTTTCAAATTATTACGGGAAGGCCTCACAAACAGCCAAAATAAAAAGTACAAATTCATAGAGAATCTTCTCAAAAATTAACACATTACGCTATAAGTTAACAAATTTTCAAAGTCAATGATGAACAGATAAAACAAAACAAAACAAAAAATTTAAAAACCATCTCCACCAGTCTGTCCTATCTAAAGAGCCACATCTTGTCAGCCCTCTCGGCTCCTACTCGGATGTGGATCGATGAACTGGGTTGGGGAATGAAAAAATACATATTGCTTGTTCCCTCTTTTTGGTCAACTATCTCCATGTCCTTCCTCTTACTCACCTTGTTTACCTAATCCTTTCCATTCCCACCAGTCCGCCATCTCAGATCTTGTCCCAGGCATTCAATGCTTCTGGACAACATTCATCACTGTCGCCCAAGTCAACAACAGCCTTCGACATGTTAAGATACACCCTTGCAGGAAAAAAAAAGTTTTTTCTGACTCCAAACGTTAAATGATTTTTTATCTAATTTTCAGAGGCATGAGGCCCTAAAATGTAGGAGGTGAACAGTTTATTTTCGTTGGGAAGGCCTTTTTGTACTCAACTGGCCTTCTCCTCACCCAATTTGGCTTTTTTAAATCCTTCCTTGCCTTTTCTATTGAGGAGAATTTAAACAAACGTGCTGCGAAGTTCAATAAAACATAAAACGCCCAATCTTAAACCGAAATTTTGAATTTCTCTTTCATCCGGGATACATTCTGACCTCATTTTTTCATACTTAAAATGTTTAAAAATAAACTATTAGAAAATATTTCATTGTGTAAATAATACAGAATTTTTTTTAATTTTCTCTTTCTTTCTACAGAAAAAGAGGGCGCTGAAAGTATAGAACTTCTTCCAGAATGGCTCAAAGCGTTAATTACCTGCACGTGCTGGTTAAACTACACGACACCCCTTCAAATCATCGCTATTAAAACATTGCTCAATCTAGTGTCACTTTGTACCACAGCCCAGTCTCTTGTCTCAAAAACGGTATCAGAAGACTGTGCGACGCCCTTGCTCATAGTCCCTCTTCTCACTCCCAACCATTTGAAATTCATGGAAAAGAACACTTTTATATTTCAGGTAATATTACATTCATTTTTTTATGTATTTTTTATGTATATGAACTAACATTATAACAATTCAGGTGATTACACATTGGCTTTGGGCACAATTAAACATTAACGAGTACAGAGTCAAATCAGTAGAACTACTGCATCAATTGCATAGTGTATTCCCTCATAACAGTACTGTTGAGTTATGCATCAGTCATTATCTCAAGCCAACGCCAGGTGTCAATGTATTGGAATCTTTCAGGAGGTTTACCTCGCTCTGGCACATCGGAAGAGAAGTTAACATAAAGCAACGGCATTCACTTCGAGTTTCTGACATATTTTACAGGTAAAAAACCTAAAATATAGATAACCTTAAAGGGTATTTTAGAAATATTTCTTACTTTACTTCTTTTTTTTTCCAGTTCTATGTTAAAAATGTTGGACAATCTTAAACTTCCTAATAGAGATTGTTTAAGAATAGAGGCTGAAGAATGGTTGATGCATTCTTTGTTGCACGGTGACATTCATAGAATAATGGATCCTTTGCTTTATATTCTATTAGATTCATCAACCGCACGTTTAAGCGTGTTACACATTAAGATAAATAATGATAGTGAACCGATACTGAAGGATGGAACAACCGGTGATGGCGCTGTAAACTCTGTTGATGGCAGCCTTGTACAAAACAAAGAAAAAAAGATCTCTATAAAGGTGAAGAATGAAAAACAATTGCCTGTTATTGTGACTAGCCCTGTTACTGATAAAACTGATAAGAAAGAATCCGATGACAACACACAAAACGACATGCCAGAAGAAAATTTAGTAATTAACACAGATTTTGATGAATATTTTGAGGAGAGTGAAGCATCGAAAAATGCAGAAGACGATGAAACAAGCGCAACTTCTGATAAAGTACAAAGCGAAAGGGCAGTTATACGAAACTATTCATTTCCAAATTTCGGCATTAATAATGCGCTTAAATTATCATCGCTAGACCTCTTGAATTTATCAGACACTCTGTTTACAAAAGTCAGCGAAGGTGAATGCCTTTCGAGCCGATTGAACAGGAGCTCATTTTCGAGTGAAGGCATTGCGAACATCGTCACCATAGACAGTAACACTCTGGTTCGAAGCTGGTCATTTCCCGGCAAAGAAATAGAAACGGACGATCTTGAAGAATCGACACCAGCTGAAGATTATTTTAGCAAAGGTGGCCATAGTCTGTCTATCGTTGAAGAAGTGATGGCAGAAATCATCGATCAAGTTGTCATGTTATCAGAAGATGTTAACGTAAGTTTATTTATAATTAGGGTGGGTGGAAAAAAAAACCGTTAGATTTATTTTCTATTTATATCAAATTAATTATGAAAAATTCTAGCCTCTTTCTTGGATTTTAATTGAGAAAAAAATATATTCCCTAATATATGAAACGTTTTTATGAAATATGTAGTCTGAAGAAGCAAGGCCATAGGTTTTCCTTTGGACATTTGAAAGTCAGAGACCAGATGTTACATTTAAAACTAAAACATTTTTCCAAACATATCATGCAGTTGAACCCAATAATTGAAATTCAGATGCAAATCCATAATCACAATTCTGTCAATATGCAAAAAAACGGTGTGTATTTTTAAATGAACTTTCCAGTAGAACAGGCTGACCCCTGACTTGATATGATCTAAGGGATTTTTTTCCGGGGTTCCAGTTAAAGCCTTACTATGTTGGGTTCAAGGGGGACTGTAGTAGCTGTGTGGTTAAGTCATCAGACTCTCAGCTAGTATATCTTGCCCTTTTGGGTTCAATTCCCACAGTTGCAAAAGTGGCGACAAAGAACGTCCGGGTCGTGATTGGATCTCAGCTTTGCCTTTGCCCCAACCCCCTTCAAAAATGAGTTTCTTCAGTTGAAATCCACCGGCACATCGGGGGCCCAATTCCCAAAAGTGGAGCCAGAAAGGACTACTGTAAAGCTGTGTGCTTCACATTCACAATTTTTAAAAAATTGGGTTCAAATTGCAGCAGCCCTGAATTTGTGAATGAATAAGTCGTTGTTTCACGCCTTAACCATTGCAATCCCTTTTATTACGGATATTTGAAGAGCAACCATACCCCGAGGAAAATCATCTACTACGTGTTGTGGATGTTTTCTGCAAGGCATTCTTTCATTTTTTATACCGAGTCAAACTTGTTTGGTTGAAGTAGAAGAGTACTTTTTCCATTATTTATATCGATTGTAAAACCCCTCTATCACTACCAATGGTAAATGATCACCCTGAACTTTGCTCCCTTTGACAGCTTATTTCCCACTTTCAGATTTTATTAATAACGTGGTTGTTTAAATTTATTCTCCAATAATATCACAATGTTGCCGCAATTAGTGGTTAGATTGGCAAGAAGCCCTCAGCAATCAGAAAAGCCTTTTATCCAACTTACGACTTTTTGCAGTAAGCATCCAGGGACTATCAACGTCATTTTAACCCCTTATGCATCCAGTTTTAACTTAAACATATACTTTTTTATTTGCATACCATTCACTCATGTATAAACAACACATCCACTAACTAGTCTAATTTAAAGTCACTGGGTAGTTCATAGCATTTTTCAACCAAATGAAACTTTTTTCAATCAAATGAAACCTTTTTCCAAGCAAATGAAACTTTTTTCAACCAAATGAAACTTTTTTTAATCAAATGACACCTTTTTCCAAGCAAATGAAACTTTTTTCAACCAAATGAAACCTTTTTCCAAGCAAATGAAACCTTTTTTCAACCAAATGAAACTTTTTTCAATCAAATAAAACCTTTTTCCAAGCAAATGAAACCTTTTTTCAACCAAATGAAACTTTTTTCAATCAAATAAAACCTTTTTCCAAGCAAATGAA